GAACTCTTATGTGGATACGATATCTTGAGTACTGAGTGGGGATTTGGGCGCTCAGTCGCCATAGCCAGTTTGAAGAGAACTCTTATGTGGATACGATATCTTGAGTACTGAGTGGGCGCCTGTCGCCAATTTGCTGTTTCGCTGTTTGCATACATGACAAGTTGAATAATCGTAGTGTGATTTCAACTGGAAGAATGCCCGGTCACTAAAGCTGTGCATCTAGACTGGAAGTAGCACCAAATACATTTATAATGACTGGGCATTCTGTTCGGGTGAAAATGGTTGCAGCCATTGAAATTATTTGGGAGCAGCCTATTCCGTTTGCCTTTGTAATTGTGTTGCTTAACTTGCGCCCGGATTCTTGGGTACTATCAACTCTCAAGCCCTATTTCCACTCGACAGTTCTTTGATTGACCGTTTCATGTTTTCAGTGTTTTCACCATTTTTTGTTGCAGTTATTCTAAGGAAAAACGAGGGCAAGTCCTGATAATCTTCTCATTCAACAAAAGAAGGGCCAAATCTTTGGTAATCTGCAAGGCAAGAAATCTATAGGATTGAATTATTCCTTACCAGCCAAAGCGCCGAGGATCATGGATAAGGAAGCCACTTTCATCAAGCTGTCCGTCCTTCTTCAATGCCTTGTGAATCTGAGCAGAGGAAAGTCACCAGCCAGCCACAGATTGTACAGCTCCAGCCAATAGAACAAAGGATGCTTATGAAGTCACAACAACAACAAGGCCGAATCGACAAGATCACTTTATCTTTCATAGTCCTCTATAAAAATGAAAGGATTTCACGCTGACACGAGTCCCAGTCCCGGTCCCGGAGTCCCAGATAGTCCCACTCCCAGGGAGTCCCAGTAGTTCAGGTCCTAGGTCCTCAGAGTCAGTAGGTCGAAATGTCATAGGTCGGTAGGAGTCAGGTGCCGAGGCATCGCAGGTCTGTAGAGGGCCGCAAGAAAAAGTCAAGTCCCAAAGTCTGATCTTGCAGCAGCATCCCAAGGCGGACAAGGAAACATTCAGGACACATCCGGAATATGCAGCAGAGAGGCCGACACGACTGATACGGGTCGGAGGTTGGCCGCGAGCAAGTCAAACATGCTATATTTAGCTGCTACAGTGGCAGTGTTTGGTAGTTGTTCAGTCGCGAGCTGCGGAAGCGCTGCTGGTTGCTTGTGTGCTAGGCGACCTGGGTGACGCGCGACACGGGCGCTTGAGAGAGACATACACGGGTGTATTCATGGAGATCGCAAGAGTTGAGAGAAGACAGATAGAGAGAGAGGGAGAGTGATACATGCCCGGTTGGGCAATGTACATGGAGCCAAGGATCCGCAATGTGATGAAAAGGACTGAATGGACAATCCAATGTCAGTGAAACATCAACAGGCAATGTACATTCTGATACATACAAAATGGCACAAAGTAGCGCATTGGAAGACTTCAAGATAAGTCCTGACCTGACCGGGACTGACGCGACATCCCATCATACACCACACATGTGAGGAAGGAGGAGGGACTGCACATGGAAGAAAGGTCCCTCCTTTGTACACGCACATTGGGAGATACCACAGATGAGAGATGGGGGGAGAGGCGAGACGGAGATGGGGGCGAGGCAGACGACCGATATCACAATAGCGGAGTCCAAAATAGTCCCTTGCCGGTGCCCAATCAACGTCTGCCTCAAAAATGTCGGATCAGATCCTGGGCACTCTGCCCACAGTAACCTCTGCCTGTATCCTCTACCTGTAACCTCTCTCTTGTATCTGATGAAGAAGAAGAAGAAGAAGAAAGGAGGAGGAGGAGGAGGAAGAGAGGGAGGCTGATGAAGAAGAAGATGTTGCCTCCCTTGCTGCCTCACCTGCAGGTGCTGATGCCGAACTGACCGCTGTTCTGTGTCGTCGTGTGCAGGTAGCGGGTGCATCGGGACTCCCAGCTATGGCGCCAGGTAAGTCCCCTTCGTTGCAGGTATGGCCTCCGCCCCTCTGCCTTCTGGCGCTCAGACTCCAACTGAGTAGCGCAGCGCTGAACCAGCAGCATGTCGCTAAAGAAGTGAGCTACTCAAACTGTCCAGTCCCCAAGGTGTGGCCCAGCTATATACTGCGCTGGGCCCTACTGGGTACGCTGCTGTGTGGCCTAAAACGGCCCGCACGGTCGGGACCCCTACCAGGTGCCCAGACCGTGCGGCTGATGCAGCAAGGCGCAGAAATGCGTGCCTTGCGGACTGAGAGTCCGAAATGACGTCTGAACAGACAAAATAGGACAGCACATACATTCATAAATAAATAAATAAATGAGTGCTTCCTCAGGCTGCACCTGCGGCCAAAAAGGGCCCCGTGGGCCTCCGGGGCGTGTGCTGGGTGGCGATCGGCCTGGGGCCCCTCAGGAACCGTCGGGCCCCTCAAATGGGGCCTGTGTGCAGGCGCAGCATGTAATACCCCCCCCTCCTTATGAAGTCAAGCCGGGTCGAGGGCGAAGCTGGCGATCTGAAGGTGGAACCTGGACGCGACACGACATGGAGCCGAAGATGCCGGCTTGCCTTGAAACTTGCGTTCGTAGCGTGCGAGAACATCCGGAGCTGTTGCTTGAAGTTCCGTGCAGGTCAACCAACGGTCAGCTTTATGAGTGCAGTACGCAAAGTGTCGAGGGCGAAGCTGGCGATCTGAAGGTGGAACCTGGACGCGACGCGACATGG